TTTCAAGTGCCACGGCAATTGAGGACCCCCTCTTGTTCATACTTAAATAGGTTTGTATATGGCTTTTTCCCTTAACAAAGAAAAACTGTTGTCTTTTGAATTATTTTTTTGGGGGGGGGGGTAATATTTCAAAAACAAATTATGTTTTTATAAACCAGAGCAGTTAATAAACATCTTTGTCAATAACGTGTTACACATTTGATGTTTTAAAGCATTTGTTGTTTTTTCTTGAAAGTTAAAGTTTTAAAATGTTGATAGCAGAATCAGCAGAGATAACAAATGAATTGCTACTGGTCTCTATATCCCATTACACTAACAATAATTCAATGCGATTATATAAATAAAATAAATTTGTCAAAGTTTAACATCTAGCAAAATCTAAAAGAAAATGTGCAATCGTAATGTGAGAGGTAATTGAAAACTATTTAGAAGTAGACTTAATCAAAATCTCATGTAGCTTTAGTATATATTAGAACTTTTCTCAATACGTTAACTACTGGGTTGGCAAAGAACAAACGGGACCCCAAACGACGTCATCCTCAGGAGTCGAAACATGTAGAGTCGTCAACTTTTTGAAAGCCATAGATAGGCCTAAATAAAATGTTTTCAATTGTGTACCAGTTTAACATTGAATATTATTTATGATATTAGTCATCTTATTGTAACCATCGTTCGAAAGAAAGAATATTGTAATAACATACGTTTCAAATATTATTCTCTTTATCACAACAACTGTTTAAAAAGAAGCAGCGTTTAGAAGAACATTTTAGTAGCACATGTCGTGGTGTCGGTGTCTTCCCAGATTCTGAGGGTCGACAATTATGGTTCTCTATTCTTCAATACCAGCATCTATTTTCTTAATTCAAGTTTTTCATCTCCAATGCATTTTCTAATGTTATAAACGTTAAGCGAGTCTCTGCCTATTGCTATTCTTCTTTCGATTTTACTCATCTGAATCTATGCCAACCTTCCCTTGGGTTTAATCATATGACCAATGTAGCGTATTTTCCATTCCCTACATATGTCCAGCAATTATCTATTGTCTTTGTACGTTCCAGTTCTTTCTCACCACCTTTTTTTTTTCCTTTTTAGATAATTAATTTTCATCATTCGTTATATTTAGAAGTACGCATTTCAAATACTGTTCTCCTTAACTTGATGATTGTTCAAAAGAAAGAGTGTTTAAAAGAATAATTTAGTAACATACTTTCTAAACATTGTTCACTTTATCATAACCATTGTTCGCAAAGAGTAATACTTAAAATGATAACTTAGTAACATACATTCCAAACATTGTTCGCAGGGAAGAGTATTTAAAAGGATAATTTAGTAACATACTTTCTAAACATTGTTCACTTTATCATAACCATTGTTCACAGGGAAACGTATTTAAAAGAATAACTTAGTAACACACATTCCAAACATTGATCACTTTATCATGACCATTGTTCGCAAAGAGCAATACTTAAAATGATAATTTAGTAACACACACATTCCAAAGATCGTCTACTTTAACATAACCATGCTGTTTAATAGCCATCAAAAGTTCCAGCTAAACAGATTAGAAAGTATTTTTGCCATGAAGAAGTATACCGTTGTTTTAATATTATGTGACGATTATTGTTTATACGAACTATGTTTAAAACTTTATTACTTACCGGTTTATGTTTAAGAAACAAACGCCTCGTTCAGAAAACAAAACATCCCATAAGATATAATGTTATAATTCCCAACGTTTAGTAATATTTTTCTTTAATAACATTCTCAGTAAGATACGCAGCTATCAAACTCCTAACACTCATCTAACTCACAACCAAGTCTCGGTGGTTGAGACAAATTTGAACAAAGACTGATGCTTAATTAAAGTCTTGGATACAGTTAATATAAAACAGTCAGATATAGGGTGTCCGGAAATTATACGAATAAAATTGCTTACTTCTTTTTTTTTGGAGACAGAAATCTTGATCCTTTGTGTCTTAGATGCTTTGTCTTTACCAGTTGTGCAATTTATACAATGTTGAACACGTGGTGTGCAGACATTGTGTACTCTATTATCTCACACATGATAAATATACATATTGATAAATTCGTTAATATAATTTTCGGGCACCCTGTTGAGTCTTTATATGAAAATGGTCAGAAAGCGAAATGATTTCTGCTTATGTGAATATGGTTTTCTTTCATGTTATCTCTATTAAAACGTTTTAAATGAAATCTAGCGCAGAAATGACTGTTCATCATTGTAATATTTTGAATTGGTAAAATTAATTTGAATTACGTTTCGCCGATTTCTTTATCACTATTACTGAATATTTCTATTTAGTTATATTTTATGAACATTTTGTTATCAAAATTAAGAATTGTAGTAATGTTTTTTATGTGGATCTTGAAACACTTGATACGTAGAGACACAGATAAATTAAAAGAGATATGTTAATGTGACTAAAAATCTTAGTAAAGTGTCCATGTATGTTTTATCAAAATCCAGAATCTCCAGAACAGGCTGTATTTTCAAGTTGCTACTTTTGCTGTTAGTATATTCGTTTTGATTCCTGCTATCATCATTTTTTCTGTGTACAAGTAAGTATTTTTATCTCAGTCTTATTTACATAAAGTGTGGAAAACTCAGTTAAATGTGAAGTTAAAGAGCATGTTCTATGTATACATGTGCAAGTGTCTCAAAGTTGCTTTGTTGTTATGTGTGTGACCCTCTAAGGATATATACACAAATCGAAAAAACAAACTAACATTATCAAGTGTGGTATACACTGAGAAGGAGGAGTGGGCACTTTTCCACTTTCTTAAATTTTCCAAGTAAAAAAATTAAAATTATTACAGAGTCTTAATTAAATACTTTTTCACATAATCTTGGTTTGATGTTGTAGTAAGTGTGTAAAGAATTAGTGGAAATATTACTGAAACGATTTATTATTTGATATAGTCCATTAGCTTAATTCGAAGCTAAAGCAGAAAAAAAAAGACCTGTTACGCATATTTCAGTAAGTCGTAATAAACAAAAAATTAATTATTTAGGATTTTATTTCTAAAACTAAATACACAAAATATTGTTGTTTTAATTTTCTAAAAGAATGCCGAAACGAAAAGGAAATGGGCGAAAGAGTCGACAATTTTATCCAGTTAATTCAGTCATAATTATGCATATATATATATATATATATATATCATTATGCTTAACCGTATCAGCAAGATTAAAGGAGAAGGAAAATAACAAAGATTGAAAATCGAAATGGTATATTTTAAGTGTTTTACGCCCACAAAGACGAAACCTATCATTCTATAGGTATTTGAAGAACTTGTAGCATTCCACCACAATTTAATTATTCGTATTGTTAG